AAACAAAACGTTTCTAAGTTTTAAAATACAAACACCTCCTCCTTTGCGTATGAACCCTAGCTGCCTGTGTGCCAATAAGAAGCAGAGACAGACGTGTGTCCTGCATTATCCCTTAGGTATCCGTGCCAACGTTTCCAAATTAACACCCTATTAAAGAATAGCTTTCGAGCCATCCTCCGTGACCACTGGACGGCTGTCAGGTTGCGTAGCTGTGGCTGTCAACTGCTTCCATGTGTTATTTTCAAAGCACTGAGCACAGCGGTGCCAGGACCCTGGGTGCACACTGATGACTCACTGCCTGCTGTCACCCCAGGGGCTGCTGTGCTGGCTCCTCTCCCTACATGACACACTGGCCATGACTAGCCCCACTGCACCCTCCCGTAGGACCTTCATATGAAAGTCCAACTCTGCATAGAGGGAGGCGGCCTCCGAAGAGGTGACCCGTGAGCTGAAAGCTAGTCATGCAGAGATCTGGCGAAAGAATGTTCTGGATACAAGGAACGGCAAGGGATGAGTCTCAGGCTGGAAGCATTGTGGAAAAGTCAATCAACAATATAGTTGGAAGACCATTAATGAGAGTAGGATCAGCGAGCTGAGTGTCGGCTATGGGGCCTTCAAAGCCACCCGGGGGCTTGGCTGGTATCCTAATGCAGTTGTTAGCAATTCCAGGTTTTAGATTGACTTGTGTGTGTGTGTGTGTGTGTGTGTGTGTGTGTGTATGTTCACTCACATGCGTATACAAATGTCTTCTATTATTCTCGCTAGAGATTAAGAAGGGATTTTCAAGTCAAAGATAGATAGGAAAAGACTCATAGAGCCCGAGGAACTTTGGACAGGTTACTAGACCTCGCTGACCCTCTATTTTCTTACCTGTAAAATGGAGACAAGATAGCCCACATCTGAGGTCTCTGGGAGTTTGTGATATAAAATGTCTGAGCGCTCAATTAAAATACCAAGTCTCATTCCATGTAATTCGCTCTGTTCCGAGAATTCTCACGTGCGGTTCATTCCTCTTCTGGTGGTGTTATTGCAGTGTTTGGTTTGACCTTTTGAGACAAGGTTTTCTATAGGTCAGGATGACCTTGAACTCCTGGCTTCCATCTCCCAAAGCTTGACTCGATTACAGGCAGGGATCACCTTTCCTGATTCATTCTTCTTGTGTAACAAACTGTAATTGTCTCTGTTATTAAAATTTGGTGACCTACACTAGAGGAATTTTTGTTGCTTACCCAGCAGATGTGAAGCCCTAGGTTCCATCTCCAGTACTTTAATTAATTAATTAAATAATTAATACCTCAATTAATCACTCAGCTATTAATTGGTTGATTATTAATTAATTATTTAATTAAGGAATAATTATAATTGCCTGCTTAATGTTCCAGAGACACTCTGTGCTATTTATAAACAACTATTATACAGAAGGGACTTGTGCTGTGACCCACTTAGAGGTCACTTTTGCTTTTTAAGATGTGGCCAGGCAACAGGCAGTCAGTTGGAGGAAACCGTATCTCAGGAATGAGACAGCTGCTGGTGAGCCAGCACAGCTGTGGGTGCCCTGTGGGGCAGATGCTTCCTGCAGTGGGTGATCCTAAAAAGACACTATGCTCTGGAAACAGCCCCTCCTCCCTGAGTGTCCAGATCCAGGAGAAGCCACAGCTGTTGGGACAGTGTGGTCCGCATGCTTTCAACAACTGCTCCGTGACACTCACAGGGAACCAGACAGATGCTGCGTGCCTCAGTGGCAGGCCTCCCTTCAAAAGCACTTTGAGTGGATTTCCCAAGAGTGCTGAAGGGTGAAAGCCAGCTTTTGCTTTTCATTTTCCCAAAATAAATGGTTAAGTTGTAATCTTCTGTTCTCTCTCTCTCCCTCTCCCTTGCTCTTTTTTTTTTTTTCTGAGACAGGATTTCTCACCTCATAGCCCACTTCTGGAACTTACAATGTGTCCCGTGGCAGCTTCAAACTAACAGTAACCCTTCTGCCTCAGACCTCTGAGTAATAGGATTACTAATAAGTAGCTTTCAACAAGGTAAAATTGTGACTCTCCTGCAGAAATAAAATAAGTTGCCAGGTGTAGCATCTCACACACACTGTTCCTGCACTCGGTGGAGACAGGCGGGTCAGGAGTTTAAGGTCAGCCTGGATGACAGAGAAGCAACATCTGAAAACCAAATAGAAACTCTAGAATGGATCCCATTGCTTCACCAAGTCTGAGCCTTTAGTTAACGTGTGACAAGAGTCTATAACTCTACCCTTTAGCACACATCAAGTTGGTTTCTGCAGGCCGCCGTGCGAAACCATGACACCACATTCTGGGGCAGTGTACCAGCTCTGTGAGCATTCCTTCTAGCTATTGCTTAAAGGTTCATCACAGTGTCACAGAAAGCCCCCTTGTCTCCAGCTCTAGACAGAACCCATGTTCTGGCTTTTTATCTCCTAGAGACCCAACAGTCCCAGCAGCATGTGGCTCTGTACTGTCCATCATAAAACCAACCAAGGGCTAATATGGGCCAAGGGGGACCCAACTGAGGCGGGGGTGCACACCCTGCTCTTGTGGGAGACAGACAGAGGAATGGTTGTCCTTTGTGAGTTAGAGATGAACATAGCACGGGAAGATCCTAAACAGGCTAGAAGAACCAGTTTGGTTTGCAGGGTAGCATCAGAGAATCTTTTTTCTCAGGAAGTAGCACTCATGAAGAATCTAGAAGCGTGTGTGGGATTTCAACGGCGGAAAAGCTGCTGGGATGTTTGGGGGTGGAGGGAAAAGCGTATGGGCAGAACTGAAATCCTCTGCCAGCGTGATCATGGAAGGCTGGTGTGGAAGTATGGGATATAGAAAATAACAAAGGGCCTGGAAGGTTCTGGACCCCGAGAGTACTTAGGCACTGAAGGATGGGTAAAGGGGAAAGGATCAAAATTGGTGTTTCTAGATTCTCAAGGGCAGTGTCACGTGACAGCAGCATTCGGTAAATGTTTGCTGAAGGAAGATGTGTTAGCCTATGAAAAGGGTAGTCAGAGATGCAGGAGTGCTAGGCCAGTTCTCAATATCGGAAAGTCCCTGTGTTTGTGGTTCCCCATGGGGGACGGGGGAAATCACTACAACCGTGCTGTGACTCTGCAGGACTCATCACCTGTCTGGATGAATAAATTTGAGGTAAAGTGGGCAGGGAGGAGTGACCCATTCCCCAAGATTAATGGAAGCCACCCACCCACTCACGGGGCAGTTGGGAGAGTCTAAGTATTTCTAAGAATCAGTTAAGAAGCTTCAAAGGGCAGCAGAGATGGCTGCCTGCTCTTCCAGAGGACCCGAGTTTGTTTCCTAGCACCCATTGGACAGCTTACACTTGTCCAATGCCTGTTTGATCTGCTTCAGGCACTATACACATGCACACACACATGCACGAGCACGCACACACGGAAAATATTTTTGTAAAGCTAAAATTTAAAGTGTTTTTGGCAAACATGTTAAACAAGTATGTCCCCGACATATCAAGAAACAGAATCCTAGGCAGACTCCTCCAGACAGGGGCGTTGGAGACTGATGCAAACTTTGTCACCATGCTGTCACCTTGTCCTCTTACCCCCAGCAGTACTCAGTATGTGCCTCCCACAGGTAAGGCAAGCACTCTACCATGGAGTTCATCCTTAGCTCCTTATTGCTTTTTGAGACAGGGCTCACTAAGTAGTCCAAGCACATCTTGAACTCTCAATCCTCCTGCCTCAGCTTTCCAGGTACTAGACACCAGCTAACAGACATCCCCTAAGCTTCTCCTATATGCCTCGGCCTGAGGCTGATGCTGGAGACAGAGTACTAGATAAATGAAAAGTGTTTATCCAATATGTATGTATATAATACATATGTATGCAAAGCACATTTAATTCTAGTAATAAACCCATTAATAGGTAGCACTATTCTCATTTTATTCATAGGAAAACGGTCAAACAGGATAGGTAATGTGCTCAAGGGTACACTGTCGGCTCCTTAAAGCCGGCAGGTCTAGGTGAGAGGAAAGAGCGGTCCTAGTCGAGCTGGGTCTCTCCGGGCCTCCTGAGCGGGATGAGGCTGAGTGGGATGAGGCTGAGCGGGATGAGGCTGAGCAGGATGAGGCTGAGCGGGATGGTGAGTGTCGAAGGCCCAAAGAAACACACCCGGCTGGGAGTCTTGCCGAAGCAGGAACTCAACTTTAATGTACCAACCTCTTGTTTATATAGACTTGGAGCATAGGGAGGAGGGGTTTTGGTGGGGTGAGAAGACGTAGGGGGCAGGGAAGGGTGACGGAAGGTATGGGGTGACTGACAGGGCCAATTGTAAGCTCTACATCAGCAACAGCTGAGCAGAGGCAGGGCCAGACAGGTCCTGTTGAGTTGGAAGTGACTAAGACAGGCCTCAAACTTGAGCCAGGCTTGGGTTTGTCCTCAAGGCCCAAACCAGGGCTGAAATGGGGCCCAACAGCACACAGCTAAGAATTTCAATCCAAAGGTGGTATACACAGGACTTTGACACAGCATGTGTCATCATGCAACATGCAAACATGTAACTCCAAGAGCCATAGCCTCTGTAATACACGGAAGTTTAGCTGAAATGTGTGTCATAAAGCACACAAGCATGTAACCACAAGGGTCATAGCCTCCACAAACTTAAGAAAGGGCTTATTGAATGGTGACACATGCCTTTAATCCCAGCACTTGGGAGGCAGAGGCAGGTGGATTTCTGAGTTTGAGGCCAGCCTGGTCTACAGAGTAAGTTCCAGGACAGAAACCCTGTCTCAGGAAAAAAAAAAAAAGGCTACTCACCTTGGGTTTGGGGTTGCAGGCAAAGCATCCCAGAGGATATGACATCACCAGAAACCCTAAGGATGGGAAGTATCAATCAGGAAAAGAGTGGGGTGGTGTTGGAACCTCTGAGGAGGGATGAGAACACAGCTTGGCGGCTTGTGCCGCGGTGGCTTGGTGGCTTGGTACACTGCAGGCAGTGACTATAACAGCACATTCTCTCCTCCAGATCCTGTTGGCCAGGGCACTTTATGACAACCGTCCTGATTGCTCTGATGAGCTCGGTTTCTCCAGAGGGGATATCCTGACCATTGTTGAGCAAAATGTGCCAGAAAGCGAAGGCTGGTGGCAGTGCCTGCTCCACGGGAGGCAAGGCCTGGCGCCCGCCAACCGCCTCCAAGTCCTGGGAGAGACCCCTGCAGACAGACCCTGTGCCCTGCTCCTGAGAGGCCTGAACACAGATTCCACCAGCTCGGAGGCACCTTACCAGGTGTCCAACTTGTTCTCCCCACCACCCCCGGGTCCTGTGTATGAACCGATGAGGAGCTGGGTAGAGGGGCCGCCGCCAGCTACTGCCCAAGTCTACGAATTGCCTGACTCACCTTCCAGTGCCAAGATTATCTGTGAAAAGACTCTGAGCTTCCCCAAGCAGGTGAGTGCATCTCCCCATGAAAGCACGGGTAAAGGGTGCAGGGATACCCAGGGGCTTCAATACACTGGAGTCATCGCCAATCATCAGATCAAATGTGCAAAACAGGACCCTCAGAGCCCTATTGAGCATGCCTAAGGCCTAGTCCCATTTCATTCACACGCTTAGCGTCCTGGTGACTGCCTCAGCTCACCAAAACTGACCAACCTGTGCTGTCAGTTGAAGGTACACGCAGGAGCTTGTTGGTTGTTCACAGGGCGCCACGTCACAGAGAGTGCTAGAGACGACAGGAACAAGGGATGGCTTGATTCACACCGTGTCAAGGGCAGGGCATCACTCATCACGTTCAAGACTCAAATCTGCCTCCCCCAAACAATTTACTTCTAGGATTGTGACAGAAACACACAAGAGGACACATGGAGATCAGGAGGAGGGTGGGAGTGGCCACATTGGCGCTAGGGAAAACCCATAGGTCCTCAAGTGTTTGTGTGAGAGTGTGTTGGTTACAGATATTTTGAAAGTTTTCTTCTTCCATTTCCTTACTTGGGAGCTGAGTGTGCCTGGGCCACCGGACACATGTGCAAACCAGAAGACAGTCTCAGGTGTTGGTTCTCTCTTTCCTTGAATGTGCAGGTCCCCGGGACAGGCACTGTGGCATCTGCTGATTCATTCCCATCCCACACCCAAACTCTGTCCCAGAAAAATCATCTTCTGTCCCTGTCATCATGGATCATGGCAAACCACTACACAAGGATAAGAAATGTTTCTATGTGGTTGTTCTAAAAAGGAAGACAGAATTCTTTAACCAAAGTCTAGGGGATAAAAAAACATACTCTGTGTGTGTGTGTGTGTGTATGTGTGTGTGTGTGTGTGTCCTTGTATACAGATGAACATGTGGGCTGGAAAGACCTAGAAGAACCCTTATGGGAGTTCTCCTTAGGAAGCTGGATTGAGAAAGGAGAAAATGAAGTAAGTAGTGAACGGGGACCTTCTTTTATTCTGTGCGGTGTCCCCAGCACCTTCCGGGAGGCAGGTCCTCAATAAGTATTCATGACCAAATAGAGCAGGACACCTATGAACTTTACAAGTGGAGGGAAGGAGGAGCTCAGAAAACGTACAGTCACATAGTTGGGGCCTTAAGGAAGGAAGGAATTTAAAGGAAAGGGGATCCATTTGTCCCACGCCCCTGCCTTCCTGGGGCCTTACAAATACAGTACACATAGCTCGGAGCTGAAGCTCCATTGGTAGAGTCCTTGCCTGGTATGCTTGAAGTCCTGGGGTCTATCCCAATCGCTGCATAAACCAGGCATGGTGGGGTGGGATCTGTAATCCTAGCACTCAGGAGATAGAGGCAGGAGGATGAGAGAAGTTTAGATCCAGTCTCAGCTATATAGTGAGTTTGAGGCTAGCTTTTGCTACATGAAGTCTTATCTCACAAACACCAAACAAACAAAACCCCACTGGCCTCAGTGATCAGTGACAATAGGCCTCCTCTAGCCCTGACACTCAAATGACATATCTCCCCTGGCCATACAGCCAACTGGTGTTTTAGGAAACTCCGTGTACAGAGGAAGGCCTCTGATGTGCGTGTGGCAGGACCCTGAGACATGTGCCCACAGCCTCCAACACTGCCTGGAAACAGGGAAGCACTCCCTTCTAAAATTGCAAATACTTCAGATTTTCCAAGGCAAGGCAAGACAGTTTCCAAGCCCAGACAGTTGTCACACACAGGTGCTGGCTGAAGCCCCCAGCCACTGCCACAAGGTGGGCCCTATTTGTATTTTCTAGAACAAATTATCCCAGTCTCTATCCAGTACCCAACTGCTGGCTGAGCCACTGACTCAGGAGAGGCTTTGGCGGTATTTCTTTAAGACTAAGTCATGAGGGGCAGTGACATGGCTTCTCAGGTAAAGGCTCCTATCAAAAAGAAGCCCAGTGGCCTGAGTTTGATGCCCAGAACCACATTGTGAACAGAGGACAGACTCCACAGTTGTCTCCTAACCCCACAGGTATGCTAGGACACCCCTGTGTGCACTTACTACAAATAAATGAAAATGTGGCCAGGAAATCACGCCAGACCATTTTCATTTGAGTTGTCTTCTAAAACCACTGAAAGGGGGGAAAAGGTAAAGTTCCATCTCACTCTCAAAAGGAAAGCAGATGTGATGCCCACTGATGCCAAGTCTCCTCAGCACCCAGCACAGGGCCAGGCTCACTGTTGAATGAACGAAGTGACCCAACCCAACAGTAGCCTGTCCATCTGGAGACTGACAGGGAAACTGAATTCCCTATCGTAGCTTAACCCGGGAGGATGGGTACTAAGTGAGCACTGAGATCTGCCTTGCTGAAGCCTGTCAGAGTATGCATCCTTCCGGGGGCCCCTGTGGTGA